AGCTATCTGTCAACGAAGACTTTTCGAGTTCGATTTCATTCAGCTCGAGGGCTTGTCAACCATATGTTGGAGTCAAAGAACTATTTCTCAGTCGAATTTTTGAACTAAGGTCTTTAAATCGAGAAGAAGACCGAAGTGGACTATAATTTGGCATCGAGAAGCCACATTCCGATTCAAATCCCGAACTACGACTTCAATTACATTTCAAGATGAACTCGACTTCACGCCAGAGGAGTCATCCGCAACTCAAATTCGAAATGGAGTTATTCCTAATTCAAGTCAATTGTCAACTCCACCGAGCGAAAATTTGTATCATTTTATCTTTGTCCTATTTTTTGTTCTACGAAAAAGGACAAAGAGCGGCAGCTGTAGACACTCATTTTCGCCCGGAGTTATTTTGTTTTTTTATATATTTTTATTATATATATATATATATATATATAGTAATATAGTTTGTGAAAATGTTTTTGACAAAATATAATATATAATTTTCAGAAAACGGTTTTCGAAAGTTTGTATATTATATGGTTTTTGAAAATATTTTTAAAATATATATAATATATAGTTTTGAAAACATTTATATATTATATAGTTTTTAAAACATTTTGAAAACTTATATAGTATATAGTTTTTTTAAAACAATTTTGAAAAATTATATAATATATAATTTTAAAAATGTTTTTTTGAAAAATTATATAACATATAACTTTAAAAACATTTTTGGAAAAATTATATAATATATAGTTTTAAAAACATTTTTTGAAAACTTATATAATATTTTTAAAACATTTTGAAAACTATATAATATATAGTTTTGAAAACTTTTTTAAATATAATATATAGTTTAAAAAAAATATTTTTGAAGTATATATATTTATATAATTTATATTATATTATTATTATTATTATTTATTCATTTTATTTTATTATTTTCTTTTTATGTTTTTTAGGGTCTAATAGCAGTCTAGATTTCATATTGATTGGGCCTGAACCAGCCCAATAGTAGATTAGGGTTTTCACGGATGTCACAGCGCCACATGGAACAAGTCACAAAAGCATTCAGAAGCCACCGAACAACCAGGTGAAAAATCCAGCTAGAAAACGGTCGTGGGGCAGCAAGTCCCAGCTAAATCGAGACTGACCCATCCCATTTTAGCCAGGCAAGTAAGCAACGGTCCGATAATGGCGGGAATAACCCGTTGAGGGCGCGTCAGTGGTGGGTATAAATACCCCACCACTATCGACAACGAGGGGGTCAACGGGATATCATCGAAAGAACCACGAGAGTACGCAAAAAAATCGAGCCATCAGAGAAACCATCATTGACCATCGCACAAGATAACCACCAACAGAGAGCAAATCGAAACCAACAGTGGAACGAGAACAAGCCGATATCGGAACCACACAACAACAGTACCGCCAAAAAAGCCAAAATACCAACACAAATCAACCAAGGAGAAACCTGAAGCCATTCGAACAAAAGCAAAAGAAAAACAAAAAAAATACGAAAAGTTATTCGTAGATCTACGGACTTTGGGTAATTTCCAAGCGAAACAAAACCCGAATCTACAACGAGGGTGGAAAGATGCATCGGATCTCCATTTTCCGACGCCAGCGATCGCCGATCAGCGGTGGCCAAAGCAGCGGAGAACCCACCGGTGGAAAAGCGGCTGTTCAAGCCTTTGCGAGAATTTCTTCTTTCTCATTCTCTTCTCTCGGCTGAGAAATGGAACAAATGAGAGTTTGTGTGATTTTTGGCCTTTTATATCACGTGCAAAACGGCGTCGTTTTGAGGAGGAATGTGTCTGTAATTTCTTGTAAGGTTAAATTTCACTTAGGGCCCCTCATGCTTTGTGATTAATTTTCTAGCCACTTGATGAACCTTTGCCTTATTATATTTTGAGCGTTAAACTTTCAGTACTTATATTTTAGTCCTGTTTTTTATGTTTTATGTTTTTTTGTGCTAATATTTGAATTTGACCCTTCTATTTGTGTATCTTCCGTTTTGGTAACTAATTTGGCATGAATGTTTAGGGTTAATCACTATTTAGTCCTTCATGTTCTTACTTATTTTATTTTGTTATATTTTCCTTTGTTTTTTATATATTATTTATTTTTAACATCTTTTGTATATATATATATATATTTACTTTATTATTTTTTTTTACATTCTTCCATTTCTTTCGATTTATTTAATATATATTTTCTTCCCTTTTGATTGTCTGTTTGTTTATTTATTTATTTATTGTTTTTATTATTATTTTTCGTTATGTCTTTTCTTTAATTTATTTAAATTTCTATTTATTCTTTTTATTTCCTAACATTTTTGGACTCTTTTTAGAAGAATTTCAATCGATCAAAGGTAAGCTTTTCAAATCGAATAATTTAAATTTAAATTTAAATTTTTAATTTTCGCAATTAAAGACAACCGAAAAATTAATTGGTATCGAAAGGGCGGTTCAAGGGTGCTAATCCTTCATTGACCGTAACCGACTCCCGAACTCGTCATATTTATGGTAAATCGCAGATCAGGTAATATGGTGTCCGATCTACCTAAATGTTTTTAAAGTGATCGGTGGTGACTCTAATCCGTTTCATTCAAGTCGAAGCCCAATTCCGGGCCCAACCGAAAGACGGTCGTGACACAAGTAATTTATATAATATAGATTCTTTTTTTATTAATATAGGTAAATACAAGATAATATTTGTTCAAATATAACTCTCAACCATTTAACATTGAATGCTCACACCCATGACATTCTTGATGCTCGAACTCGAGACCTCAATAATTCCTTCATCACTAAAGTCACTTAATTTGTGCATATAATATAAATTCAATATTTATAATATGATACTAAAAATAATCTTAAATTTATTTATATATATTTTATTTTCAATTTAACGAACATAATAAAAATTAATTTAATTAGAATTAATAATAAAATAAATTTTAGTTACAAATAAATGACCGAAAGAGTTATTGTTTTATTAATATAACATGTTACGTCATGTTTTTAATGATAGATAATAGCATTGTACTAATTTTGTGACAAAATATAAAGTTTAATACTTATTATATAAGTTTTGAAAGTTCAATGTCTAAATAGATAATTTTAACATAGTTTAATATACATTTAAAAATTTTATCTTATAAAATTAGTGATGAATGCCAGTGTATTTTAACATCTATTCTAGAAACTTTCCGCTATAATATAATAGTTAACATGAAATTTTATCTTTTCCACTTAATCATTGATTAGTTAAATTTTAACTAATTTATACTCAGTAAATAACTGTTAATTATTAACACTTTTGATTGAATTGCCGTTTTTGCCCCATTGTCAGAAACTCCATTTATTTACGAGCAATGAAGTGATGATTGGGTGCGGTACTTGGTATGATCATTGCTGTACACTTGGGGTGATCATCACCATCTACATTACGTGCACGTGCTCTTTGGATTTATATCATCTAATTAACAAACCAGGGAGCCTTATTTGCTAATCATTTTGTTTGCGTTTAAAATTCATATTTTTCTCTTCTAATAATTTTGTTTCTAAAAATTTGAATATGCACGTACTCTAACTCAACTCAGTATTAACTGACGTGGGCCATTCATTGTAAGCTCTCTGTCTTTCAACTAAAAATATTCTTCAAAGAAGAACGCATGGTTTTCGTAATCGGATCGGTAAGCGAATCGGTTGTACTATCGGTTCATTAGTTTAACCGGTAGAATCGATCAGACAGGTCGAAAGAATCGGACGACTTCATAATTAATTAATTATTTAAAAAATTAAATAAAAATATAAAAAATATTTAATAAAAAACAGTTTTTTATATCACAAGTCATATTCAAAGCAAATTATAACATATATGAGTTAAAAACTATAAAATCAAGTGAAACAAAATTATTCAAATCAACTACAACATAATATTTAAGGTAAAACATATTAAATAATAAATATAATTATATAACTATAATCAAAAAAATAAATTTGGGGCTAAAAAAATCATAACAATTTATGTCGTTTGGTTTAATTTTTTTTTAAATCTCACATGGCTAAGAAACATAGAAGAGCATCACAAAAGTCTAAAGAGTAAAAATATGAAAACAAAACAATCCCACATGACTAAGAAACATAGAAGAGCATCCCAACTGACTTCTATAAATAATAGAAGTAATTTGACATTTAAAATCATGGAGCCTTTTGATGAGCATAGAGCGAACTATTCTTTCACTTCAATCGAGCTCGAATTTCAGGCTTCAATCGAGCTTCTAATTTTTTTTGAGTTCGAGCCTTTTTGAGTTCAATTTTCAATATTATATTTCAAGTTCGAGTTGAATTTAATAATTTTTAGCTTGTGAGTTTTTGAGTCGAGTTGAGCATACTTTTAAAGTTTTCGAGTTCGAGTCAAACTCAGTAATACTCGAGTTTGACTCGGCTCGTTTAACAAACCACGTTGTTTGATTTAATTTTTTTTATAAAAAAACAGAACCGGTTTTTAACCGATTCACGCTCCGGTCCAATTTAAACGGTTCACAGCCGGTTCAGCGGTTTCTTTTGATTCACTAGTAACGGTTTAATAGATATATAATGAATCGAATCAGACAACGGTCCCGATTGAACCTACCGGTCCGATCCGATTTTCAAAACACCGGAAAAAGGGCACCACAATGACTCCCAGCAAGATTTTCCTTTATGTGCCGGTAATTAATTAAACTTTCTTCCCTGCATGCAATGGCGTGACAGAAAAGTTAAACAAGATATACGTTTTTGTTTTTTTTTCTTGGTAACCAAACAAATGATAAAGATGGTTGTTTTATCTTTGTTGAACAGTTCGACGATTTAGCTGAGCTTGAATGGCTGTCGAATTTCGCGGAGGAATCATTTTCCAGAGATCCGGGATGAAAACCGAGCCAACGTACCGTCGGATGATACCCGTGGCTTCCAACCCAACCAAATTGACACCGGTGACAACAACCCGGTTTTCACCCGGACATGACGGCGCTCGCCAAGGCAAGAAGCAAACGCTCCCGTGCAGCGCCATGCAATTGGGCGTCCCGCCTCCACGTCCTCAATCCGACAACTTCATCTTCCGAACCGGATAAGGTCGTCCCGGGTCAAAAATCTCTCGCCGGGAAAAAGCCCGTCAAAACGACGAAGTTGAAGAAAAAGGACGGCGGCGAAGCGAGTTCGGAGGGGCGGAAGTGCCTGCATTGCGCAACGGATAAGACGTCGGAGTGGCGGACAGGACCCATGGGAGCCAAAACACTATGCAACGCTTGTGGGGTGAGGTATAGATCGGGGCAACTTGTGCCCGAATACCGACCCACTGCAAGCCTGACATTTGTGCTGACAAACCATTCAAATTCTCACCGGAAGGTCTTGGAGCTAAGACGAGAGAAAGAAATGGCAAGAGCTCAACAGCAACAACAACAATTGATGCACCATCGTCATCAAAACACGCTATTTGTTTATTTCATCCACCAACCACTGCCTCATCTCATGTAGTGAATGCTAGTGTAGGCCTAATTTAGCTTTTGCGTTCCACTTTTTATTTTTCATTTTCGGTTGCGTTATTCACTAGTTTTCCCTTTCTACATTTGGCAATCCCAATTTTCTTAGTTCTGCTCAATTTCTCTATTTTATTTTGACTTCATTATAATTAAACTTTCCAAGCTTGCTTTATATTCCAACAAATCAAATTTAGCAAAATAATTCAGTAGGCTTAGAGTTCAGACTCTTTGTGGTATTAAAAATGGATGCAAGGCTTTAATTTGAGCCACCCAAATGTGTGTTCATTGCTCAAAAAGGAAACAGTCTCAACATATAAAAATATCCACGTTGATAGACATAGGTCTTTCGCACCTTACCAATCCCATAATAGTTGAGGATTTAAGGCCACTTCCCACTCCTTCCAATCAATTCAAGATAAGGATAGTTTTCCTATAAAATTTTATATTCAAAGACAAATATTTTAACTCGTGATTGGCTACTTTTTACCCTTATTTAATGCATGGATTTCCACAATTTTTACATAAAAACACAAGAAAGAAACATAGTTAATTATAAGGTCCACAGACGGATTGTCAATGCAAACCTGTTTGGATATGTAGTTTGAATAGGTTAAGATAGGATTCCAAGGTTAAAACTTTTTTTTAATAATGTTAGATGTTATAAAGTAGTATTCGTTTAAAATCTTTCTTAATATTGACAATGGATACTTTTAAAAAAATAAAAAAGGCCAAAATTGATGTTTTTAAGGTAATTAATGTTGAAACCCCAATGCATGACATGTTAGTACAAGTAGTATTTTAGAAGCAAAAAGGGGTTCTGGGAATGATTATTCAGTAAATACCGTGATGATTTAAAGCAGCTTTTACTTACAGAGAATGTTATAGCAGTAATTTAATTTACACGTAGTTTTGTGGCTTGTACTTGAATCCTGTCTTGCTGGTTATCTTTTGCACGGGTTTTCCCACCTTGTAGGACTTTGAGACTGAAATGAAAAACCAACTTCGATTCAAGTTCATATTTTCTGCGCAGTAAAATCCAATACAATGTTTTATATTAACAAACCTGCAAATCATCCCAGCTCAATCATTGTTGATTAACTATATATATATGCTGTAAAATGAGTTTTGAAGTTTTAAACCATTGGTTGTCCTTTCGTATTATTTGGAGCAATAAATAAAACAGAGTAATTTGTGCCAAAAAGAAGCTAAGTTAGCGCTCATCACATGCTCCTCTCCCCCCCCCCCCAAAAAATGCTTAATGCATACATGCAGAGAAGTTTATTGAAAATGAAAATTTCAAACTCGTAATTAAGGGATTCTCTATTGTATTAGCAATATGGAGAAGATAGATGCGGGTATAAATAATGGTGGTTGAATATGTGGGCTTACTTGCATAGTGATTTGCATATTCATTTGCCCTCTTTCCTTCTCTTGTCAATTTGGCACATACTAAACTAACATGGGCTTCCAATCAATACCACTGAATCAAGTTTTGGAAAATCATGTATGGTCAATGCAATAATTTTGAATCTTTGTAGTAGGACCAAAGGTACACTCACAGACGATTTTATCAGAAATTCAATTTCTTTGTCGGATAAAATCATTTTCTAATCCAAGATTATTTTCTTAAAATCCTAAGGAATTGTTGAACTCACTTGCAAGTTCAAATGTTTAAATCTAGACGTTGTGAATAGAAAAAATTGGGTTAAGAGGATACCCCTCATAATAGGCTTTCAATATCCGATCTAAATTAATCAATTAATAGATTGAAAACCAGTAGTTATGACAAGATTACACTGTCATGAAGTTCAAATTTCCATCCACCTCCCTTTTATTAGAATGTATTAAAAAGAACCCCAAAAAATGATTTGAGCTATATGAAGGTTTGGTGGAATTCGAACTGCATGAAGGCCGAAAGATAATCCAATTTCTTAATTGATTGATTCATAGATATTGTATTTACGTTTGAACATGCATGAAGGCACATGGTGGTTTATATGAATACGTCTACATGCACTTACACAAAAAAAGTACAAGGAAAGAAAAGAAAGTACATGGGCAAGGTCCACGAGAGAGGTCGAAAGGGGAGACCTAGACTGCATATGGTAATGTTTTGTTAGTTGAGGGTGGAGAGATGCCATAGCTAATGTAACTTTCAAAGCTATGGAGACATGGAGACACCATATCCATATCTTTTATCATCTCTCTCTTTACAAATATACTTATTAAAACAGCCTGCATTTCTGTACAACCTTCAGGTTTCTCCAACTAAGTCTTACATTAATGTCAACACACCTTTTCGTCCTGGTACAACACTCTCAACAACCCTGATATAGTAGGATTCAGAAAACAAACATAACGTTAGAGTTTTACTAGGATTCGAACTCCTAAAAGTAAGATAGAGTTCTACTAGGACTCAAACTCCTAAAAATAGGATAGAGTTCTACTAAAATTCAAACTCCTAAAAATATGATACACAAGCATTATAAATAGCCATTGTAACACACGATTTACATACAAAAAAAAATACAGAGGAAAGCACGAAAAAAAATACAAAGGCAAAGCTATTGTAAACGATTCGAAAAAGAAATAAAAGGTATAATCTTTTTTATCTTGATTCGTTCATTTCTCGCATGTGCATGTTTTTTTCTTGAGATTTGGTTCGAATAACCCAAAACGTGAGTTGCGCCGATGACCAAAAAAGGGTGGGGTTTCGAAGTTTTGAACCTAGATCTACCCCCGAGGCGTGTTCCTGTTTTTTAAATATTTAATTCTCCTCCATAAATCAATTTTTTCTTCGAAATTTGCCCATCGATTTGTTTTTCGTTTTGATTCGGTCCCTTACATTTACGCTTTAATTATTATTATTTTATTTATTTAACTTTATTTATACGTACATATCCCTTATTACTCATTTTATTTAATTGCTTTGTTATTTTTTTCATGTAATATTTTTTTACATTTTATGTATTTTCTTTTTCTACTTTAGTATATATTTTTATTTTTTTAGATTACATATATATATATATATATATATATTACTTTTTATTATCTGTTTTATTAATTTATATATATATATATATATACTATTTTTTATGTCTTTATTTATTATATATATATATTATTTTTACTTTTTTATTATTATTTTATTTATATATTTTTCTTCTTTTTCTTTATTTTTTTATATATATTTTTATTTATTTTTACTTACTATTTTATCTTTGCTTTCTTTATCTTATCTTTTATTTAATTTGTTTTTTTCTTCATTTTAATTTAATTTATTGATTTATTTCTTACCTTTTTATCTAACATGGTTTCTTAACCTTCTTAAGGGCACACCTTTAAAATTATCTAAGGTAAGTAATTGGGATCGTATTTTTACCTTTTAATTTTAAATTACAATTTTCTTAATTTAAGACAACTGGAAATTGCGTAGTGCCGAAAGGGCAGTTTAAGGGTGCTAACCCTTCATTGACTGTAACCGACTCCCGAATCCGACACATCTTTGGAAAGACGCAGATCATGTAAGAAATAGGGTATCCGATCAACCCATTTGTTTTAAAATAAATGATCGGTGGTGACTCCAATTCGTTTAATCCAAGTCGAAGCCCAATTTTGGGCCCACTCGAAAGACGGTTACGACAGCTTGGCGACTCCACGGGGGACAGGTAAGTGAGTCAGGCTAAAGTAATTTCCAGTTGTTTTTTTAACGAAAATGGTAAATTTTAATTTTAAGGTAGCATTTCGATCCTTGTTGCTTACTTTTGATTATATTTTTGAGTAAACAGTTGTACTAACCGTTTTCTAATGATTTCAGCCTTCAAAGCTTGTTTCTCACTTAAGGCTCTAAACCCGAGCTCCAAACCCTATTTAAGTGGGGGTGAAAGCGACGCCTTCATGTGAATTTATTCACCGCACATGCCTAGCAAGTAGCCTTCGGGATTCATATACCTTATGTCTTCGTGTGAATTTATTCACCGTGCGGGCATAAGGGAATGTTTCCTTTCGAGTTTAACTTAGTCCACACAAACTTGTAATGGGCTTATGATTAAGGGTCTGGCAAGCCCAAGGGGGCACCAGTAAGGAGAACTCAGGTACCTTTTTAGAACCTAAACCGGGAGATTACAAAGAATTAGAGCTTACCCCGAAACCTCATTCCAAACCCTAGGTTGCTTTGATTTTATTTTCTGCTTTACTTTTTGTTCAAAGCATGCGAACTAGACAAATATGCGGTTAGGATTTGTTTGAAATTAGCATGCGGGATAGAGATCATGCCCGAGTAGGAATAATAAGCATGTGAGTAGATATCATGTGGGGCAGGATTTTTCATTTTCATTATTGTTTTGATTTACCACACTAACTCTTTTTATTTTTGTTCTCTTTTATTTTAATTTTCATCATTAAAAAAAGAGGTGTTGATAAAAAAAAACGTTTTCGTTAAACGTAAATAATTCGCATTAATGGACAAAGGGATTGTAATACAAGAGGTGAAAAATGCAGGAGTCCGACTATGGTAAAAAAGACTAAGAAAGAAAAGAAGGACAATCTACAAGGCAACTATGTGTCACATTCGATCAAGAAGACGTGGTGCCCACAATCAAGTACATCACAAGTCAACTTTTCAAAAATAGGTTGACAAAGGTGGCAGAGGCAAGACGAGAAAAAGGTTACTGACCTCGAGTGTCCCTTCAAAGATAACAAGAACATGATGACAAAACGATAGCTGAATTGGAAGCCATTGTCGACAAATTCAAGAAACAATCGAATGAACTTCAGATAATCTCTTTGATGGAGGATTTCAATGGCGTTTCCATTATAAAACAGGTTCAGCAAAGGATGAAAGCTAGAGATGCAGTCATTTGATACTTCTGGGAACATGTACAAAAAACAGCTCGTCACTTGCACGGTTTGGCCAGAGAAGCTGGAGCGGTTCGATAGGGTATTCGACTGGTGACAGATGAAGGGATAAGACTAGTCAACTTGTTTATGGTTTAA